GTGGCTTTAGGCACACGGTTTATAATGGTACTAGATACAGCCTAGCCTTGTTATAAAGATTCAAAGAGGTAATGCATATGTCACGTGGGGTGTGGGATCCTTACTGTACTCAGCACATAATACACTCTGAAAAAGGTTACAGTGGTGGTGGTGGTGACAGAGAAGGCTTATCCCTTCTCATGGGCCAGGGTCTCTGCACAAGAGGCTATGGAGGGGTCACAGTGAACAGAGGCTTTCAGGGTTTGTAGATTACTTACGTTTTCCTTTGTGTCTGTCTTTTTTTTTTTTTTTAATCTCATTAAGCTGAGCGTCGTGGTACACACCTGTAATCTCAGCACCCAGAAGGCTCAGGCATTCTGGGCTACACAGCATAGAGAGACCTTGCCTCAATTTTTTTTTTATTAATTTTCTTAGGAAAGTAACAGCCACATTCATAGAGTTTAAGTGCTACAAAGAGAGAGACAGCAGAAAGTCCACTCCTGTTTGCTCTGATCTCTGGTCTCCCTTGCTGCCTCCAGGAGGTGGTCCCTATCTTTTGCATTCTCTCAGAGGAATAAAACATAGGACACAGGACCAGAATTCCTATCTTGCCTTTTTCTTTCAGAACATGGTTCTGCTTTTCTACTTTGCTTTAAACAAGGCTTGAGAACATCCCATGTCATTATATTTTGGGACAGACCTCCGAGAGAACCTGCACTCATTTGCGCATGCTCACATACACATACATGCTGGAAAAGACAACAACCTTAAGAAAAGCCTGTGTGTTTGTTAGTCACAGTTCTGGAAGCTAGGAAGTCCAAGATCAATACATCATTATAGCCAGTACTTCACCAAGGGTTGTTCTTTATTTCCAGGATGATACCTTGTTGCTTTGTCTCCCATGGGGCAAGTAAATAAAAGGAAAGTCACTCATATCACTTAAACTGGTACCATTCCAACCCCCTAAAGGCTCTGACTTGTTCAGAGCTTGTTCTGACTTGTTCTTGGTGGTGCTTAGAATCAAGGCCACAGCTTTATACGTGATACACATATGTTTCAGTGTTGGGTTCATGGTAACCTTCTGCTTCTTAGCACCACTGGGCTGTGGACTACATTTCAACATGAGTTTTGGAGGAACAAGAACATCAAAGCCATAGTAGCAACAAAGGAACCATGGCCATAAATCATAGACTTCAGCTTCTCAGAGCAGGAGAAGCATCTTAGTGCTGGGTCTCACTGACACCAGTGGGGCCAGGCACTGACTATCGGGTGGGCCCCACTGTGCAAACTCTGCTCTCTTTATTCCTCTTTGCAATGCTGGGGGCTTTTGTGTGTACAAGGTGAGTGTTCTACTGCTGAGCCACATTCCCACCCCTCCCACCTGTCTTTTGAGACAGGATGTGGAACTCCCTGTGTGGTCCAGACTGGCTTTGAATTATTGATTCTTCTGTCTCAGCCTCCTGAGTGTTGAGACTAAAGGCATGTGCCACCCTGCCTAGCTTAGGAAAATCCATTTTGAACACTTAATCTAATGTCATGTAATTCAGAGATCTCTTCTTTGCACATGTTGATTGCTTGAGGTCTGGGTTGGTTCTGTCTATGTAGCACACTGCAAGGCCCAATAAAGGGTTAAGTGGGGAGTGAGTCTATGGACAAGCACACAGAAAGAAGCAATCATTCTGACAGTCTGAAGATGCCACAGACTAAGAACTCCATGGAAACCTCAGAAAGTAAGTGACATCATTTTCCGGATTGAGACTTTCCCCACAATCAAGTAAAGCTTGCCTGGGGAGCCACAGCAGACAGAGGGGCAAGGTGATGTCTGACATATAGGGATGCTGATGAATCAACTAGAAGCAGAAAACTCAATGTTCCTTGGGTTAGCAATAAGGTGTGTATCGACCCACAAACTAGAATACCAGAACTTGGAGCTGTCTGTCACCGTGAAGGCCAGTGAGCAGAGACTGGAATCACATCTTTAGGTTGAGCTTAATTCAGAGAGTCAGTGATCTGAGAAGGCAGCAGATAAACATCTAAAACGACTGTCTCATAGTTCATCTTCAGCCAGCAGATTACCTAGGGAGAACTAGGAAACAAGTCAGCCAATCACTCGAGAGCTTAATCTCGCCCTCTGGTCAGGTGCTCAGTCATGTGTCTGAGACTTGTGATGGCAGTGTCTCTTTCATTGTCATGCCAAGCACTTGCCCCTCATTCTCTGAATGTCTGGGCTCAGACACTTGTTGAAATGCTGATTCTAGTTAGTATTTGCTCTTAATGACCCGGTACTTCTCCAGGAACATCTGGCTTAGGAGGAACAAATAAAGCATAAACAGTGGATACAGCTATTAATAACATGTATGTGCAGTGTGCAGACTACGTTTGTCAATATGGAGTGTATGTCTTTATAATATGTACATACTTAGACACAAACACACGGGGGTGGGGGAGATAAAGGGGAGGGGAGGGGAGGGAGAGGGAGAACAATCACCTGCGAACTCCAGGCTGTGAAATCAGATGTGCAAATAGCAGTCTCAAGTGAGCACATTTTTCCCTCCATATATTTGGGATTTTGAGACAGGATCTCATGCAGTACAGGCTGGTATCAAACTGTATGAATGCATCCCAGGCTGGTCTTGAACTCCAGATACTCTCGACTGCACATTGGGCGCTGGGATTCCAGATGTGCGCCACTGTACTTGGCTTCTGTCTAATCCTTTGTGTTAGCAGAGATACACCTACACTCAGGTGCTTCTCAACTAGGCTTCTTTGTGCTGAGGTCTGAGGCATGTGCCAAAGACCTGGGGCAGAAACAGGCTCAAAGTAGAGAAAAGACTGCTATGGAAACTCAAGTATAGGATGTATGTATTTCTGTCTGCCTGAAGCAGAGCAAGATGTCTGGGAGGTTACCTGGTGCACAGAATGTGAGACTGCCCCTAGGGCCCATAGATAAGCCAGAATCATCATACCAACCGAAATGCCATCCTTAAATGCACCATTCCAACCCCCTAAAGGCTCTGACTTGTTCTTAGTGGCGCTTGGGATCAATGCCACAGCTTTATATGTGATACACATATGTCTCAGCGTTGGGTCCATGGCAACCTTCTGCTCCGTAGCACCACTGGGCTGTTGACTACATTTCAACGAGTTTTTGGAGGAACAAGAACATCAAAGCCATAGTATCAATATGCCCATAAATCACAGACTTCAGCTTCTCAGAGCAGGAGACGCACTTTAGTGGTTTAGGAGGACATTTTGTTTTCACTCAGAATCCAGGAAGATATGGACACATCAGTGCATTGGCTTCATCTTCTAGCACACCAGTTCTCAACCTGTGGGTAGTGATCGCTTTGTGGGGATTGCACAGACATCCTGCATATCAGATATTTACACTAGGATTCATAACAGTAACAAAATTATAGTTATGAAGTAGCAGTGGAATAATTTTATGATTGAGGGTCAGCATGGCTCTAGTAACTGTATTAAAGGATCACAGCATTAGGAAGGTTGAAAACCATGGGTCTAGCACTTGCTGTGTGGCCGCTGTGATTCTAGCCACCAGGGACACACACTTGCTCTATAAAAAGCAACTTTTAGAAAGTCACAGTCTGTCTGGCGTGATGTCATATTCAGTATGCCCAGCACTCAGGTGGCAGAAGCAGGAACATTGAGTTCTAGGCCTGCTTGTATTACATAGTGAGACCTTATTCAGAATGCCAAAGAAACAAAAGGAAAGTGAAAAACCCTAGTCCAGTCTTCAAATGCTTCTTACATCTTGGTGTTCCGCTTAGAGCAGTCCAGGATATTCCAGAGATAGCTCTGGCACACTCACTATGCCATCCTTCCCTGCTCAGAGACTGGCCACAGCGATTCCTATACTTGAGTTTCCGTAGCAGTCTTTACTTTGAGCCTGTTTCTGCCACAGGTCTTTGGCACATGCTGCTGCCTCCCAGAGTGCTCTTCTCTGGCTCAGAACTTCTTGAGCATGACTTTGTTGGTGCTATTTTTAGGGGCTACTTTATTGTTCTTATACCTACCTACCTTCCAACCCTTACTCCACCTTAATCCCTTCCAACCCCCAACACTAGGTAGAAGAGAAAAAATGTTAGAGGAAAAGGGGGTGTGGACCTTTTTAGACTACTTCCTGCTGATTAGAGATTTCATGTTTCTTGGGGCAAGTCCAATCTTCATCATCAGGATCCAATTTCTTTTTTTCTTTGCTCAAGCAGCAGGGGGGCAGCAGCCTCCACAGGCTTCTCAGGGGTCTCCCATTTATACCTTCTCCAGTGTTCTCAGAATTAAACTATCTGCAGCTGGTAAAGATCACGCCCCTGCTTGTGCACGAGACAAATCATAATCACCTGCTGTGAAGCAGCCTCTTACCCACACCTGGGATTAAAACAAAAACATACTCACATAACTGTTTTTTTGTTTAAAGGAAACTAAAACTCTTACTACATGACTTCCTGTTTAGATCTTGCTCCAAACTGAGCCATTAGTGACACCTTCCTTGACAGGTATCACATCTGTAACCTCAGCACTCAGGAGGCTGAGGCAGGAGGATTCCCAGGTGATACAGCCCTCAGATATCAATAAGTCCTGGGCTGTAGCCCAGACCAGGGATGTGGGCCTGGTCTTTGGTGGTAACAGACTCCTGCTACTGCAGGGCCATGGATCCAGACATGGCCTCTGGTGACTGCACAGGCCAGGACCCTATCATGGTCCCAGGTGGCATCACAGGCTCCTCACATCAGGCTATTCCTCACTACCCTCGTGTCTCAAGTTCTGCCTCTCTTCATTGTGCCCACATCCTTCTGTTTCTCTTTCTCTTCATTTTTCCACCACTTACTTGCTCCTCTTAGTGGTGCCCGGGGTCTCTCTGAGTGTTTGAGGTTGGCTCAGGAATGGTCTCTGGTGTGCTATGCTTCATTTGTGCATTATGGCACAGGGAAAGGGTCATCTTGGGCATATCCCCTTGCCCCTCCACCCTGGCTGTGGTCTCAGGCTCATTTTTCTTTTCAGGAAATGTTAGACTACTAATCATTCAGATGTCCATAGATCAGAACACTTAGTGTAGACATAGCCTCTTTCCTCTCTGCCCCCTACTGACACACATGCAACACACAGTTGTCATACTTACAACCATGGGGCAGGTTGTCTTGGTATATTTTTATTTCTCCTTTGTTTCCTACATTTTTCCCCTTTTCTTTGTTGAGATAGGGTCTCACTCTGTAGCCTTGTCTGGCCTGGAACTCAACTGTAGACAAGCTGGCCTTGAACTCACAGAGATCTGTCTGCTTCTGCCTCCCAAGTGCTGGGATTAAAGGCACGAGCCACCGTGACCAGCCTGTTTATAATTTTTCTTCTACACAGGAGGGTTGTTCCCTGGTGGACTGTGACACTGGCAGTGCCTACTGTTGAGTCTGGCATCAACAGTAGGGTATTTTGAAAAGTATCTGCTGATGAAGAGCAAGATATGCCAGCCCTTGGGCAGCTGCAGAGCTGTGTGTGTGGATCGCAGCACAGCCTCAAAACCCACTTTCTGGAGTCAGACCTGTGAAGTTGAAGGTAATTCTAAGAGGAAAGACAGAGTGATTCTGTCACATGGTGGAGTTCTGTGGAACCCAGATGGGCAACACTAGGAGGGTAGAAGATCACCAGACACGACTACAGTTCTAGAGTCCCTTTGCCACATCTCTGGCCTTGAGTTGTGACGGCATTCACCTTCTGCAATGCTGGCCTTTTGCAGAGCCTGCCAGGAACACTCCTCTTGTTACATTAAACATCCTCTTTAACTGTATTTCTTAAAATGTCCAACTCTTCATGATGCCTTTGCAAGGTAGGTAGGTGAAATCAACCTTACTTTGTGGAATAAGGAATTGAAACTCAGTGGGATTAAGTGTCTTGCTTGAGTCAAACACAGAGAAAAGGACAGGGCAACCCTCACACATGGTATTTGCACTGAGCCCAAAGCTAGCTTCTCAGCAGCAGGTACCATGGTCAGCTCAGGGTCTCTCCAGAGCTCTTCAGGACCCAGGTGGAGCAGAACAAGTAGTCTTCTCAGCCTCACCTTACAAAGCAGAGAGCTCTAGGCTGTGTCACAAGCTGGCTGTCTGAGTGACCTTGGGCAGCTTTCCTTAGCCTTCACATCTGTAAAATGAAGGGTTTGGATAATGGCCTAGGAATTGCCCCAGCTTTGATGTAGGAGCCTGTGATATCAGAGTAAGAGAGATTGTATCATTGTGAATTGAAAAATAATGATCTTTTATGCTTCACATGTAACTTTCCATCTCTCAGGCTACCTATTATATAGTGTCAACGTTGCCTCATATATCAGACACAATGGTAATAAGTATGTAATTTGTAGCTGTGATTTCCATTTTATGGCAATATCTGATTTACACGAGGTGTTTTTAAAGTGTGTCACTTACAATACACACACCTGCCAAGAGCCTGGTCTCTCATAATGACTTTGCAGTGAGGTCAGAGAAAGGGCCCAAGACGAGGTAAATAAACAGTCGGCATGTTTCCAACATCAAGTATCCTTCTCTTCGCAGGAGGCTGCTGCATCCTCACAGGACCTTCTGGAAAGGTGAGTCAGGATTATGAACTATGCAGATAGACCATGTCTGCAGGTGAGAGAGCTGTATATCCTAGATGGGTGGGGAATTTTGATCAATTTGTGGAAATAACTAAGCAAGGATCAGTTCAAAGAACTGTCAGTTTATTGTGTTTGGTCCTTTTGATAAAAACTTGAGCTGGGCCTGTGCATGGTGGCTCATGCTGGTTATCCCAGCACTTGGAAGAATTGTGTGTTTGAGGCCAGCTTGGCTAGGGGGCAAGATTCTGTTTCATTAACAAGCAAACAGAGTCTGGAGCGATGGCTTTACAGTTAATAGTAATGGCTACTCTTCCAGAGGACCCAGGATCAATTCCTAGCACCTACATGGTGGCTAACAGCTATCTGTAACAGTTCTGGGGGATCCTATGCCATCTCCTGAACTTCAAAGACACCAAACATTCAAGTGCTACATAGACACACATGCAGGTAAAACACTCATGCACGTAAAATAAAATCCAAGCAAAGAAAAATTAAGATAAATACCCAAAGGCAGAGGCAAGGTTAAATGTCAGAATCATCTAGGGGGAAGAATACTAATTTGGGCATACTTATAGGACTTTTGGCAAATTGGCTATTTTGCAGGCTGGATTTTGATGAAGAGAATTTTAGCAGACTGGTCTGTTCTCCAGGGCCAGTTCAGATCTGAAAACTTTGGCTATTTGGTTTCTTTAGACTGAGGGGCCTAACTGTCCCTCTATAGTTGGACAGGGCACCTTGGATTATTCCTCTAAACCCCAGTAAGGGAAAGCGTGAAGGGGGCAGGGTTGATCGTCAACCTAACCCCTCCTCCACACCTCAAGTGAAGAGGCTTCTGAAGAACCTTGTTCCTTAATTCCAGGAGGAATTTGTGGCCTTTGAAGCAGATCCAAGCTTCTGGAAACTTGATCCTCCTGTGAGCCTCTGAAGCCTTTCACAGCAGGCTCTCAGGTGATTTAGACTGCTCTCCATGCTAGTGCAATAACAGCAGCAGTACCCAGAGGCCAGCGAGGGTCAGGAGGCAAAGCTGCCTTTGGACTTCTCCTCTGCTGCCTTAGCTTCTCTTGGTCAAACTCCAATTCTCAGTTAAGCAACTTGATGGGTATGCTGGCTACCCCCCAAGGGCAGACAACGCTGAGAGAGATGAACTTCTGCCCTAGGGATTTTGGCTGCTTGTTCAAAATCCTCCCAAAGGTCAGTCACCAGGCTTGGATTTCTTCCTGAACCTTGGCAGACTCTGTAGAGCTTAACAGTGCAGCAGACTGGCCTGTGAAGCTCTTTGTGTTGAGCTGTAATGCTCGGCAGTCACTCATTTCGATAGCTTAGGGTGAGTGCCATGCCAGGATTGCTGGATGTGTTTTAATAAAACAAGCATTTGGGAAAGAATGGTGGTTTGGATTTTTCTGTGATGCTAGAGACAGAACCCAGGGCCCTGTACACTCCAGGCAAGGGCTTCACCACTTAGGTACCTCCCCATGCTAGGCTTTATCATGGGAGGACAGGTAGTCAGCAAGGTACCCGCTTTTCTTTTCCCATTCGAGACTTTTTCATAATCAAGATCTTTCTTTGTCAAGTTACTGGTGTAGAGATGACGAAGATTTATCACTCCTGCAATGTGGTGCTGTTTCCTGCCATGCCCTTGAACACACCATTTTTCCAAGCCACGAATGTCTTCATCTTGTCTGTTAGCATATTTGAACTTCTTTTCAATACCCAGCTCAAATATCACTCTCTAAGCACCATCTTTGCAGTTCCACCAGGCTCAGATTACTTAGAATTTGTAACTGTTTACATATTTCACCCATTGCCTATCATATAACATCTTCAAGGAAAGACTTTTTTTCCCATTTATTTACTTACTTGTTTAGTGGTAGTATTATGGTTAAGATATAGAGTTCAGAGATAACTTGGGATTGAAGACTGGTTACTCAACTTTCTATGTCACAAACAGTGAATGCCTCCATCTCTTTAAAGCTTATGTTTCTTGTCTGTAAGGATGGGCATAGTGATAGTATTACTACCCAGGCTTCCTGAGACAAACACACATTTAAATTATGGAGTGCTTACTGTATTTTAGAGATTATGCTGGCCACACTACTGCTACGATTATTTATTCAACAGTTATTTATTACAATGGCGCCTAGCACTATCCTAGATGTTGCCTGTAAGATATAGCAAGATGTTTGGTATAGTTAGACCTCAGGAGTCGTTTCAAATCTATCTGTCAGGTAAACAGGGTTATGCTGTGTAACAAACACCTCCTTACCTATCAAATCTCAGTAGTTTAAATTTTAAAAAATATATTTATTGTTCCTCCTACGTGTTTAGTGTGGGTAGTTGAAACTTCAGTTGATCAAAGGTCAGAGTGCCAGATTGACTCCGGTATCATCTCAATAGCTCTTTAGCAGAGGCAGGGAATCCCCAATTCAAAGTCAGTGGCAATAGCTAGCCCCAGGCTAGCTACGTGGGAATGAAGTTTTCAGCCTAGGTCTTCTTTCCTTTCTCACTTTTGCACTCAATTATATTTAAGCAGATGAGTGATCCTGTCAGTGTTAAGACAACAGCAGAAAGGAACATATTTATGGAAAGCGCTCTGCTTTCTAATTAAGTTTCTGCTGCCCCAAGCTTTGGGCCCAGGTGCTGATTTGCACTTTTGAAAAATCAAAATAAAAACTCTAAGTCGAGAAAGCTTGTGAAATGCTCCTGTGTTCTTCTCCATGACTGGCACATAAATAAAAACAGCTCTTTATTCCGCCCACTGTGAACACCTTTGCTTTCGTTGCCTGATGGTTTGGACAGGTTTTTGTTTAAAGACAATTAAAAGTAGCTTCTAAATGCAGAAGCTAGTGAGGCAGCCAATGGGAAGGCACACATGATAGGGTAAGTGGGGCAAATCTCAGTCAGGCACTTAAGGGTCCTGAGAAAATGGTGTCCAGGACTACAGTGACACTGGGCTCAGCCAAATGCTCCAAAAGATTACTACAACCCCCCAATCCTTTGCTGCCACCAGTGAGGTGAGGGTACCTTTATTGTCTATTTGTGTTTAACTCAAAAATTCCCTATTTGAAGCAACAAACATAGCTGTTGCCAGCCTCTGGGTGTCAGGAACCAGCAGCCACAAGCTGGGATGAAATGGAGGTCTCTACTGTGTGCTACCTGAAGGTGATGGCTGTCCCTGCTGATGGCTGCACTTGGCTTAAGGGTGGAACACTCCATCACTGTGAACTACAGTTGTGAGTTCCAGGGGCTGACGCTGACTTGAACAAATCCCTTCTCACTGAACTTGTTTCTTAGCTGATAGATGGAGGATACGTTATTATTATGCAATGCCAGTATCTCCAGATTTTAGCAAAGTTCTGAAGAAATAGAGCGTAACTTTCACACTGTTATTTTATATTCAAAAGAAAGCTTTGAGGTATACTGAAAGGCAGGTTGAATGAAGGACTGGGGAGACAAACTTTGGATGGCTGTGTGATTTTAGGAATTCTTGTCCTCTCTGTTCTTGCTCATTTTTCCAGGTGAGGACAACTCCGCTTGGGTCCTTATAAGTGCGCCT